AGAGTTAAGAAGAAACCAGAAAATGGAAAGATCTGCCACGCTCTTGGATAGATAGGATCAACATAGTAAAAATGGCAATCTTGCCAAAAGCAATTTATAGAGTAAATGTAATCCCCATCAAAATCCCAACACAATTCTTCACAAACCTTGAAAGAACAACACACAACTTTATATAGAAAAACAAAAAACACAGGATAGCCAAAACAACCCTGTTCAACAAGGCAACGTCCCGAGGCATCACTATCCCTGACTTCAAGCTCTATTGTAGACCCATAGTTTTGAAAACAGCTTCATATTGGCATAAAAATAGACAGTAGACCAATGGAATTGAATTGAAAATCCTGATATTAACCCACACTCCTATGAACACCTGATTTTTGACAAAAAAGTTATACAATGGAAAAAAGAAGGTGTCTTCAAGAAATGGTGCTTGCATAACTGAATGCTGATATGTAGAAGACTGCAGATAGATACATATATATCGCCATACACAAAACTTAAATCCAAATGAATCAAAGGCCTCAACATAAATTCAACCAGTAGCACAGACATTGATATCCACAATTAATAAATGGGACCTCCTGAAACTGAGAAACTTCTGTAAGGCAAAGGACATAGTCAGCATGACAAAATAGCAGCCCACAGAATGGGAAAAGATCTTCACCAACCCCACAGCTGACGGGGGGATGATTTCTAACATAGAAAATGAACTCAAGAAGCTAGTCACTAAAACACCAAATAATCCAATTAAAAAGTGGGGTACAGAACTAAATAGAGAATTCTCAATAGAGGAATCGAAAATGGCTGAGAGACACTTAAGAAAGAGTTCAACATCCTTAGCCATCAGGGAAATGTAACTCAAAACAACTCTAAGATACCATCTTATACTAACCAGAATGGATAAAATCAAAAACACCAATGAGACTCTGTGATGGAGAGGATGTAAAGAAAGAAGAAAACTCCTCCATTGCTGGTGGGAGTGCAGACTTTTATGACCACATTGGAAATCAGTATGGCAGTTTCTCAGGAAAATGGTAATGAGTCTACCTCAAGATCCAGAAATCCCTCTCCTGAGCATATACCCAAAGAATGCACATTCATACCAGAAGGACATATGTTCAACTATGTTCATAGAAGTGTTGTTTGTAATAGCCAGAACCTGGAAGCAAACTAGATGCCCTTCAGCTGACGAATGGACAGAGAAAATGTGGTACATTTACACAATGGAGTACTACTCAGTGGAAAAAGAATGGAATCTTGAAATATGGAGGCAAATGCATGGAACTAGAAGAAACCATTCTGAGTGAGGTAACCCAGTCAAAAAAGAAAAACATCATAATTACTCACTGATATGTGGTTTGTAGACATAGAGCAAAGGATTACCACTGAACAATTCATACCACCAGAGGAGCTAGGAAAGAAGGAGGACCCCAAGAGAAGGATGCAGGGTTCCCCGAAGAAGGGGAGGGAGACAAGAACCCCTGAGCAAATTAGGAGTACAGGGGGAGAATGGAGGGAGATGGAATGGGGAGAGGGAAAGAAGGGGGGATAACATGAGGACAGAGACAGGGGAGGAATATAGGAAAGCAAGAAAGGAGATGCCTTGATAGAGGGAGCCAGTACAGACTTGGAGAAAGTCTGGCACAGAGGAAATGTTAGGGGATCCACCGGGATAACCTCAACTAAGAATCTAGGCAGTGGTAGAGAGGCTGACTTTGATGCCCCTTACCCTATAATGAGATTGATGTCTACCATGGTTACCATTCCTAAAGCCTTGACCCAGTAGCTGATGGAAGCAGAAACAGGCACTCAAGGCTTAACACTGAGTCATACTCCTGGAATGCAGATGCAGAGAGGGAAGAGAGATGAGCAAATGAACCAAGACAGTGCTGAAGATACCCACAGAAATAGCTGACCTAACCTAATGAGAGCATGCAGACCATAGTCGTAAAGTGGAGCAACCAGTATTGGACCGAACCAGCCAGGGTACCAGCTAGGAGGCCAAGGCAATCTATGGAACCTCCTAGTCTATGGAGCCAATGTTTATTCCCAGGTCACAAATGGACTTTGGGAGCCCATTCCCTATGGAGGGATACTATTGCTATCCAGACATGGAAAAGAGGGCCTGGACCCTCCGCCAAATAATGTGATGGGCATTGATGATCCCCTGTGGAGGGCCTCAATATCTCTGGGAAGTGGGATGGGGATGGGTTGGGGGATGGTGAGAAGCATAGGAGGATGGGAGGGTGAGGGAATGGGTGGATGCATATGTAAATAAGAGTGTTTCCAAAATAAAAAAATAAATAAAAAAAGAAGTTGGCATTAGAGTGTTGTTGCAGGACTATGGGTTTAAGAAATCTATAAATTACGTTAATAAAAGCCTGGGGAATTATTAGCAAGAACAAATGTAAAACGTTTGACATTTCCTAAAGAAAACACAATAATCTCATTAAAGAAATTGCTTCCAGCAGCTCACAGATGTTAATGGTTGAAGTAACAAAGCCTACAAAGTATTTGAGAGCAGATTATCATCTTCCTCTTTGATTATTTAACCCTTGACCTAACTTACTGTGCATTTCAAAATAACAGCTTTGTTTTTCACTCAGTCATATTTCATCAGCAACACTCGACAATTCTGAATAAAAATGATGTTTGTATGCAGTGGTCACAAAAATTTAGACACAAAGGATTTCTAAACCCTGCTAAAGGAAGAGTTTATATAAAAATGGCCATGAATGCTGCAGAGCAACATATGGAAGACTGTCCTGGAACAGAAATATTTGTGTTCTGAGATATACATGGCTAAGATATGCTTGCATACATTTGTTTATGTAAAAAGTTCTGTCTTCATGACAGTGAAAGAAAATATTTAGACATAGATGATAAATTCATAGTTTCAAGAATTAAAATTCATTTATTATGCTAACTTCCTCCTAATTTTTAAAACAAGGGTTAAGTAAATTATCCACTTAATGGTTAAGAACAGTCTGATTAACAGGAAAGAGGATTGTTTTAAAGGCAAAAGCAGAATTATAAGATGTCATCTCTACTGTTTCCATGATGCTCCTACATGTTAAGGGAGGATGTGAAGTGCTTTCCATTAGCTCTGTCTGCTGCACTCAAAGGGATCTGTGCATTTCGCCAAATCGTGCTATGCAACCTGGGTATTACATTTCAGTGACTATTATGCATTTGAATCAAAATTAAGAAAGACAGTTTGTACACTTAATTCTTTAATCTTTCACCTGAGCCTCCTAAATACTTCAGGGGTCTGAAAGCTGCACACTTCCTTAAGATTCAGTAAATATTCAATTATGTCTGTTTTGTACTTAAGAGAATGAAAGCACTTACAGACTGGCAATCCGACCGGTGTTTTCAAATGTGTTAATGCAGCTAAGCAAACTTAAACCCTGGCTGAGACTAACCTGGCACACTGCCTGACAAAGGACTCAGCAGGGAAATGCTCCGAACTCTACATTTCCACAGTATGGGAATCCAGAGCAGCCAGGGAGCAACACTCCACCTGCCTTTCAGCACATCCCACTTCAAGGTGAAATGCTTTAAGATGTGGTGTGGTTTTTTCATGGAGGAGAGCATGCAGGAAACTGGCAGCCCTTTCCTGGCTTGGGAAAGATACCTTAGACCTTGACGTTACATCAATTTAAGTGTAATGTGCTTGCAAAACCACACTTTACATACAAGAGGAGAGGTACATATTATAATGGGCAATCCTTCAGTTTTGTTTAGAGACATGAATTTTTACTTACAAGTCTCTAGAATTCACAAACTAAAATCTTTCATGTCTTTTGAAAACTATCTGGGTTTTAAATTTTCTAATTTTAATCTGTGCTTTAAAAATCTAGATCTTGCTTAAATTTTCTAATTTTAATCTGTGCTTTAAAAATCTAGATCTTGCCGGGCGTTGGTGGCGCACGCCTTTACTCCCAACACTCAGGAGACAGAGGCAGGCGGATCTTTGTGAGTTTGAGACCAGCCTGGTCTATAAGAGCTAGTTCCAGGACAGCCTCCAAAGCCACAGAGAAACCCTGTCTCGAAAAACAAACAAACAAACAAAATCTAGATCTTTTGATTATTTCACCTTTGTTATGTAAGGTTTCTCTTTTTTTTGTTTTGGTCCTAAAAAGGAAAACATCATTTTCTAATGCTCTAGGGTTAGAAGCTTGTTCTAGGCACGTGACTCAGTTTCATATTTCATTCATGAAAAAGTTCCTAGAAACATTTTTCCATGTGTCTTGTTCTTAATTTAAAATTTAATGGACCAAAGAAATTTTGTAGGGAACAGAAGTGAATTTGTCAACATAGTTAATCATTGATGTGGTGAGCTCATGTAAGGATTTTTGATATTTTCCTGGAATCTGAGTCAGAAGGGCTCTCTCATGAGGTATAACAAAAGTCATTTACATGAAACAAAAACAAACTAAACTGCTAGTCTTCAAACTGGAAGAAAATTAGACTTACTTAAAAAAGAACTGTAGCTCTCCCTACCCATGGGAACTGGTAAGTGAGGTCATAGGGAATCCTTCATTTCTCATGGAGTCAATGAGAAGAAGCCATGGAAGAGCCTGTAGCAACATCTTGTTTTGCTCACCCAGGGAGGACGCTGCATTGATTGAGCATCACCTGTGCGCTTCTGCATTATCTTATTACGTGTGAAAGACTTTCACATTCACAGAAATACTAAGGGAGTTTCACGGAAATTTTTCCATACAACCTGAACCCAACTTCCCTTCAAATTAATTAATATCATGTATCAATGGCCGGGCGTTGGTGGCGCACGCCTTTAATCCCAGCACTTGGGAGGCAGAGGCAGGCGGATATCTGTGAGTTCGAGGCCAGCCTGGTCTACAAGAGCTAGACAGGACAGCCTCCAAAGCCACAGAGAAACCCTGTCTCGAAAAACCAAAAAAAAAAAATCATGTATCAGCATTAACTTTGCTATAATCATTAAATTAATATAGTACTGTAAAAAATTAATATACCAAGCACATTAGCAGTACACTGAAGAATTCCTGAGACATCTTCAATTTCCTCTTTGTTGGAATGGTCTTCATAGGAGCATCTGTTAGAGATATTGTGGAAATTCTTTTCTGCATCCCTATAACTAAGAAGAAAATAAAATTAGCATATGGAGGAATTTTGAAAACATTTTCAAATGCACTCATATCCACACCAAGTACATATAGTCTATACATTCAGGATAACAACTTTAAAAAAAAGCTGATTCTTTAAACATAATTCTGATATGTATAATCCACTATTCCCTTTAACATCAACAATACAGAATTAGATTTGCAGGTAACTGCTAATTAGAAAGCTTCTGCGACTGTAGTAAAATCCATATGATATGAAGGAGAAAAGGGGACTAATGGGGAGAGAGCTTTAAGTGAAGGGAGGGATATAGGGATTGGGTGGGGAACAGAGTAGGGAGACGAATAGCTGGGGATGCTAAAAAATAGTCAGATACATAGCTACTAGTTTGTACCCATTCTAATAGACTGCAGATAGAGTTAAGATAAAAACAGTGATTTAAAGGGGTAAGGGAGGGTTAGGTGAATAGACAGATTATAAGAGAAGATAAAGATGGGAGTTGGGGGAGGTATAAAGAACACTAAGGGTATTTGGAGGCATACTATTTATAATATTTTAAAATATTATTTTACAATAATTTTTATAAACAAGTTTCTATGGAGTTGCCCTACACAGGAGGCCTCCCAGAGGCCATATTTTGTCAAATAAAAACTCAGTGATTTTACGTAAGCCACAAAGCATTCTGGGGAGCACCCAACAAATAGCCCGATTGTTCTTGGTAACTAAACTGATATTGATATTCTATTGCTGAACACACCATATACTTTGTTCATAAGACATAGTAAAATCAGGTTGTTACTGACAAGGAAGCTTCCTACCTTCTGGCTGGTTTTCATAGTACCAGATGTTGTAATGCAAGCTTCTTGGAGGAAAAGTCATTAAGAGTCTTATCTAGTTGTAAAGCCTGTGAGCTTTGCAATTATGAACTCTGCAGGCTACAGTGACAATCAGCAAAGCAGGATATACCCATATATGCAATAGGGCATGAATGTTATAGAGTAACCAGTTGCTTTCTTCTTGGATTTGAAGCATGCTCCATGAAAGGAAAGGCATGCCTAGTACTGTAAATCTAGCAGAGAAATCAGGATTAGGGAAATCATAGGCTCCACACATGAACTTACTACAATTATTTTGCTAAATGGAGGAAGTATCAAGCTGAACTCTAAGTTTGTATTTGTATAATCACAGAATAGAGAAACTCCCTAACCATATTCGAGAAGTTTCTTTGTTCAGTGGAAACTCACAATTTGACAAAGTACAGAGAATAAATATCAATTGAATATTCAGCCACAAATGTGGTAACTGCATCACCCCCACCCAGGGGATTATTGCCAAAGGTGAGGAAGAAAAATTATAAGAAACAGAAGTTGGGAAGGGCTGAATTACAACTGTCTTATGGACATGGCAGGAATACTATCTAATGAACTCACAGAAGCTCCTTACCAGAACCATACATGATCAAGTCTGTCAACATCTCTGCATGGAGGTTGAAGGAGGTCAAAAGCTAAAGAGCTATTGACAGCTGATGGCTTTGGGATAGGTGAGTTTTCTTTAAAGGTATTATACTATATGGTTGGCCATGCTCCAGTGGATGCCCCTACCCCATGGGTATATGGGCTGTACAAAGTGTACCCAGTGAACTACATTCAACAAACGGCAGGAAGTGGGAAGAAGTGGAAGTGGATCTGGAGGAGTGAGAGGAAATAGTGGAGGAGTGAATATGATCAAAAGCATTACAAACTGTACACATATGTGAAATTCTCTAAAAATTAACTAAGTATTATATTTTAAATACAAAGTGAGGAAATAGTGGAGGAGTGAATATGATCAAAAGCATTAAAAATTGTACACATGTGAAATTCTCTAAAAATTGACTAAATATTATATTTTAAATACAAAGAAAGCTGTTCATAGAACAAATAGATTGATGGTGAGAACCTAATGTATATTAGTTCTGTGTAACTAATGTATTCCTATCTGAGCTTTGCATAACTGCTCTTTCTATAAGACAAGTACCTAGAAAATAAGATTAATAGAACTAGCTCAGTATACTGACACTGTAGCATTGGAAATACATACACCATAACTTCTGCCATAGTGGCCCAGATAGTAGTGTGGTAATTGGAAGATAAAACAGGGCAATAGGAGCCTTGTGAGATTTCACTCTCGATTTTCTAACTCAGAGACCTTATCCAAGTCACCTGGTTTAGCAGAGTAACTTCTTGCCATATCTAACAAAGGTCTCTCCTAGTGGCCTGTGAGGGACAACATGATCCAATACCTTTATAAGCAGAGGTAGCCTGGGACTTCTCCAGTGGCCTCTGAATGACATCAGAATTGAGGATAGTGACAGCCAAATGTTCCATATTCCAATGGGCTAGCCAAGAAGATCAGAGCACTTTTTCAGAAGGTAAACTTCACTCCAAGTCTGTTAACATTCATTTATAAAGTGAGGAAATGGAGGCTTAGAGATTTTAGGAATCTGCCCATAATTATTTGATAATAGAATGTGACTTGAATTCCAATGAGTCTTAACCATCCAAATATGAAGCACATGTCTCCAGAACAAAGATAGGGATAGAAGAAAAGGTACATAGCCATAGATGGCATGGATCATTAGAAAAGGAATTCTATACTAACCTACTAACCGGGTGTCTTTCAAACCTCAATTCCCTTTAATCCCTTAATTGAACCCTGAAAATCTCCTACTAACCTCATCAGCTTCTCACTACTTTTGATTGTTTGAATAAAAATGGCCCTCATAGGCCCAGAGGTATTGGCATTATTAGGGGGTGTGACCTTGTGGGAAAGGTGTCACTAGAGGTTGAGCTTTGAGGTCTCAGAAGCTCAAGGAAGGACTAGAACACAGTCTCTTCCTTTTGCCTGCTGATGCAGATGAAGAACTCTCAGTTCCTTCTCTCTATTACCATGCCTGCCCACATGGCACCATATTTCCTGTCATGATGATAATGGACTAAACGTTTGAACTGTAAGCCATCCCCAATTAATGTTTACTTCGTGGTCATTGTTATTCTCCACAGCAATAAAACAATGACGACACTACCCTTTCCCTTTCCAAGTAATTCATTTTCTATTGTTCTCACTTCATCGGCACAGATACCTTTGCCTACAAACTTTAAATAGTCAATAACCTAAGAAAACACACAAACATAGATACACACAAAGTCCCTTTACTCTGGTTAGGTTGAGGAAAGAAAAAAGTGTGCCATACAAACAAGATTATGTCAAAGTTATAAAATGAGAATGTTGCACAAAATCCTAGCATAAATGTAAGACTATACAAGAAAACTGGAGTGTATTCATGCTAAAGAGGATATCTGATCACTAACATTACAATGTCTACAATTATAAGTGAACACAGATGCTAATCTAAACCCCTTGGGTTATACCTTTCCCATGCATTAATAACTCTTTAATTTCCTATACTCCTACTCAAGAGTTTACTCACATACCTCTAGATTACAATTTATTCATTTATTCCCTCTGTACCCATCTTTCTAAAAGCTAATCCCTCCCACAGACTAACAAATGGGATATGGATGTAAGCAAGATAAAAAAAAAACCAAGAATATTGGATAGTGATGTATAAATGACTGTGTTTGAGGCAGAGATTAGAAATTGAAGGCTTTTTTAGATTGGTTGCTCAAGGAAGACCTTTCAGAAGTGATGGCATTCTAGCAGAGACCTGCATATAGATTAAGATTAGTATGCATGCATCTGCACACAGAACATTCAAGAAAATGGTGTAAACACCGAGACTAATCAGGAAAAAACTGAAAAGCCAACAGAAAGTAAGAGTGGAATGATAACACAGAATGGTTGAAGAGCATGGACCTATAGAAGTAGAGGTCAGATGACAGATAATTGAGATTTTAATCTACTGTAGTAGATAATAAGATTTGTAAAGACATTTCTAATTGTGAAGCAGCAGCATTAGAGTGAACTGACAACTTGTCTCAAATGCTGATCTGTATCTCTCCTCAGATCTATGAAATTACCTGGAGGTAGATAGAAGGGTTAATTTCAGCTGTTACATTGACTGGCTAGAGATATTCCTACAGTGTAATAAAACACATCCTGAGTGTGTCTATGAAGATCCTTCCAGAGGTGATCCCACATGTGTGCCTGCGAACTGAATGGGCAACAGCCACCTTCAGCATTGGTGGGACAAAAGAAAAAAGGGAGGCTGAAATACTTTTAAATGCTCAACTCATCTTAAGTTGATGAACTTTTGTTGTTGTCATTACCTAAGGACATTACACACCAGATTCATCAGCTTTTTTATTTAATTAATGTATTTACTTTACATCCCAACCTCAGTTTCTTCTCCCTCTTCTCCTCCCACTGCTTTCCCCCACCCCTTCACAGCTTAATCCTCTCCTCCTTTGTTTCTATTCATAAAGCGGTAGGCCTCCTATGACTATCAAAGCATGGCACAACTATTTGTAGTACGGTTAAGTACTTCCCCTGCGCAAGTGCTAGGAATAGGTTTCCAAGAGCTAGCCAAAGACTAAGGGCAGCCCCTGCTCCCATTGTTAGGAGTTCCACGGATTCACCCGCTTTTAAACTCAGACTTACACGATAGACTCTCCAAGAGGGCTTCCAGACCTCTAGCCTCATACTGAGGAATTCACTGATCTATTGTTTCTGTAGCTTCCAACTTCTTAGACTGGGCAGCTACTGGTTTCACTCCAGTATACAACCGACCACTATGAGACTATGAAGTTTCTGATTATATAAGCCAGTCTAATATATTGTCTTTTATGAGTGAATGTGTGTGTGTGTGTGTGTGTGTGTGTGTGTGTGTGTGTGTGTGTATGTGTACCTACAAGATAATTCTAATGTGAACTAATATTTTAGAACCACTGGCTTCAAGTAATTTTTTTTGTTTTGCCAGACAGGGTTTCTCTGCATTGTTTTGGAGCTCATTATTCTGTAGACCAGGCTGGCCTCAAACTCACAGAGATCCACCTGCCTCTGCCTCCCGAGTGCTGGGATTAAAGGCATGTGCCAACAATGCCCGGCCTGGCTTCAAGTAATTTTTAAAATAATTTTTCTTTGATAAAAACACAGGACTAGGAGACATTGAATGGAAGCCAGAAAATCATAGCAAAATCTCTCATAAGAGATGATGATGACAGTAGAGAGGAAGAGATTTATCACATATCATAAATAAATGATTTTACTATTCACTTTCCCAACACAAATGATCTCTATGAATAAAAATATAAGAACAAGGGAAGGGATAAATCAAACCATAGAATAAATGTTTAAAGATGAAACACCTGTGGCAGAGAGGTTATCTTACTCCATAACAAGAGGCTCAATCTTCTAAGTGATCTTTGGAACAGATCCTCCTTGAGTCCAATGTTAGGTTTTGGAAGAAAGGAGAAAGCCTCTAGCAGTTTCTATGGGCAACAGATACAAAAATTCAAGGAATGGTTTATACTATCCTAGATATTGATATGTAAACCAGATCAAAGGGCACAGTTTTGAGGAAACTTAAAAAGGCCAGTTATTGAGTCATTAAAAAGTTATCAAAAAAAGGCTTGTTATTGACAAATTAAAAAGAGCGCATACATTACACTCCATCATGTCTCCTGCTTTAGCGTTTCAAAATGTGGTATCAAAAAGCTAAATTACTTCATGACAAGCCGATGAAAAGCATACTTTTCAGAAAGTAAGAAAATAATTTTCTTCTTAGCTATATCTCTCCAAATTATGGAAAATAATGCTTGCTAGAATATATCCTTCATTGCTTGAAATCCCTTGACTGTAAGAAACACATCACTTCACAGTTAGAGATAAAAGGCCCTACACTGTGTTTTCTAAAGAGGAACAGCACATAGGTGTGACAGCATTAGTCCAAGTGTTAATGATATTAGCTTTCCCCCTTTTTCAGTTTTGTAAAGAGAAAAGGAAGCTGTATGATGAAGGAAGTCCAAAGTAGGGAGGATGGAGTCCAGAAAGGCAAGAGCAATGAGACTATAGCCAACTAGCTCGTTAGTCTCCAAAAGCATAAAGGGATTAGTGGTCCATGCCCTAGAATCCAGGCTAGCAAATATGTTTATCCTGGCTAGCAGGGCACAATGTGGGTGGAGCCCACAGGAACCTGGAATGGTGCAGCAAGAGATTCAAGAAACGAACAGCAAGATAGACTTTCCAGTCAACCTGCGAGATTTTATTTTCCTTAGGCATGTGGGAATTCAGGGACAGGGCATGTTGATAGTTCTGTTTCAATCAGGTTTAGCATCAAGACACCTTGTTACACTCGAATTAACTGTAGTCCTTATATTTTGTTCTGAAGAATAAACAGAAGTAAGAAAACATCATTTAACAAACAAGAATAGAATCACAACCCCAGGCCATGTCAATATAGATGAGAAGATAGTTAAGGCAGGTAGATAAAAGGGAACTCCATCCCACCAATGACCAAAGGCTGCTCTGTTAACTATTCCAACAGGGTTAATTATCTATTTCAATGATAATATAATAGTCCAACGCCCAATTTGTCCTGAAACATCAGTTCACAAATGAGAGAATTTCAACAATTACTTGATTCCAAAACAAAGACAGCATTCATAATTTCAAAAATGATGTTTTAACTTTATGAATGACATCATCATAAAAACATAATAATATAATAATAGATATAAAATGCTTACCACAGTTAACAAATTGCTTTAAGTGTAAGAACTAAGCTAATCTACATAGCATACTCAATGACAGTTATTAAGTTTTATTTTAGAATGTACAAAGAAAGGTTAACTTGGCATTCTTTAGTTCCATTAGGGTAAATCATTTCAAATCACAAATGGCATCATAGATTTAAATATTTTTCCCAACACTGCACATTGGAGAATTAATATGTCAAAGCTGAGTCTCAAAGCAATTCTCACTAAAAAACAATCAGCATAACCATCAAGTGATTAAAATTCATGGTATTATGCTAAATATTGAATTCACTTTCTAGTCTTCTATCATTCTGTTTTGTTTTCAATCACATTATATCTTAATAGCCCAAAATTATTTCTGATCCCCATGATATAAAATGATAATATTTCAAGAATTACCAGAGTTTGACTAGTGACAAAGACAAACCCTTACAGCATATTGAGAATACTAAGAAAATATAGTGACATTATCCATTGTTTCTAATGTTAATTTTTTTATATTTGCCAAACTGCCATCAACTATGGTCAATCAAAAAATGTACTTTAGGCTTATTTGGAGTTTTCTGTTTCCAAAATGCTTCTACTGAAACCATATCACTTATTCATGACATCTATCTTTAATTTTGTTATTAATATAACCATTGCATTTTACTAAGGTTTCTCCATACTATTGCAAAGAAATAGGGAATACTAAAGAAAAACATGCAGCATGTGATCTGACCAAACCAAGACCTAGCCATAAATTGTAGTTTCAGCCAAAGTCTATATAAGGATTCCAAATCCCATTCAAAACCTCCCATTTGGTATCAGCAATTGTTTCCTTGTAGTAAAACAAAATTATGGGATTCGGTATTGCCACTGAAAGATAAGAACGTTAGAAAAGATGTAGGGGAGGGAAAAGAGAATTTCATTTGTCACTTAAATGAAGTATACACAAATAAACTGAAGGAAATCACTACAAGGTACTATTGTTACATGTTAAGCCTAATATGTTATAGCCCACATGTTAAGAAACACACACTATAAAGTTGACTTCAAGAGTTCACTAACTTGGAAGCTAAACAGCTGCACTTGAAAAATCAGTTTGAATCTGTTCCATAGTGAAAATGCATTTTTACTCACCTGATAACTTGATGTTCATAATACTGTAGTGTCCTCTTGAGAGTCAGCTGTATAGTTTGAGGCTGCAGTATGGTAACAAGAATGAAAACACATCATCAATGTGCTTCCCAATCAAGGAGGATAGGCAGAAATTTCTCATAAAAGTTGCTATTGTACAGTGTTAGCGCATTTTGCATGTAGCCCTGTTTTTTCACCAGTTAGAAATTTCCCAGTTTCCCAATTTTGAATACAATGGTATTATTAATAGCTCTTTTGGTGAGCTATTAGTAAACATTCAGTAAAGTACTTATTGACTGGAATGCAGGACTTGGGAGCGAATGGGAGAGGGCACTGCAGGAACATGGCCCGTAGCACTTTCTAGGCACTGTATATAACTCCTGTAAGATAATGACCATCTGCAAGTGCACGCCTTTATTTGTCCTTTCATGCTGTAACGTGACTTGCAATGGTAGTCTGCAAGTAACAGTAAGTTGGATTAAAACTATCAATTCTATAATTATATACTTTAAGGTTAATAAGCTTTTCTTTTCCCATTAGTTTTGTGTCTAAAGGGACTCATAGGAGGTCAGAGTGAGATGAGAAGCTGTGGGCCAGACCCCATCTGCATTACTTCAAGTCAGCCTAACTTCCTGAGTATCCCCAGAAATATCAAGCTCAGGATTGTTATTGTGTCCCATGGAGAGGACTTGAATGCCTTGGATTGCTCCCTCATGTCATCAAAAGAGAGGTCTGTAGTTCATGAATGAACTATGTAAACACTCCCAATGGCAGTTCAAGACATTATTCTCTGATTTATCTAAACTTGGAAAATCCATATATACAAGTGAATTGAATACAAACATCTCAGAACATTGATTTTTATTAGGATGCTATAATATGAACTAAACTCTCAATGGCAATAGAGTGAATCTATACAATGAATGATAACTATGCTGCAATCCACAGACCCAAAGAGACTAGGTAACAAGGCTTCCTAGGGAGATGCCCGAATCTCCCTGAGAAGGAGAAAGAGAAGAGACTTTGTGAGTGGATTGAAGTAGAGTGGGGATAGGAACATTAGCAATCAGGATGGGGTAAGGCAGAGGGGGAAGTACAGAAAGCGAATGTTGGAAAGGGGGTGACATTTCAGTGTCAGGTAAAAACTTGGTACAAGAGAATCTCTCAGGAATCTACAAGGATGACCCCAGCCAAGACTCCTAGCAATAGCAAATAAGTAGCCTGAACTGGCCACCTGCTGTAACCATATTGGTGCCTAGCCCAATTGTAATCAGGGAGGCTTCATGCAGCAACTGAAAGAAACTGATGCAGACCCACAACCAAACGTTAGGAAGAACTCAGAGTATCTTGCAGAAGAGGGTGAGAAAGGACTGTAGGAGCCAGAGGGGTCAAGTGTATCACAAGCAAACTCATTGAGTCAAGTAATCTGGGCTCATTGAACTAGGGAGCCTGTATGGAACTGGCCCTGGTACTCTGCATATATGTTACAGTTTTCTTCAGGGATGAGACTCCTTAGAGGATACCAGGATACCAATGATTCAGTAGATAATTCCATACTCACAAACTTACAGAGTGCTCTAAGTGGACTATGATATAAAGTTGGGAGGGAAAGTGAGGAGGGATAGGGGAAGGATTACCTGGAGGGTAAATTTGATCAAAATACATATTATACATATATGAGATTCTCAAACAATAAAAAATATAGTTAACAAGAAATAATGCAATTAGATGTTTGGCAAAATGTTGTTCCATTATACCAAGGATAAGTTTTAGGAAATGTGTCTGTAACACCCATTCTTCAATACTCAAGCATAACTACAGTTTTGTAATCTTAGGGACTGCTACTAATTAATTCTACCAAACTACTGTCTCTGAAAAGCCTGTTGCCAGAAATATCCAGTGCTGTGCTGGATGCCTAAGAAAGTGTTAATAAATATCAGTTTCTAGCTTCTAATCCTTCAACATGAATCTTAAAAGTGTATAATTTAGGAGAGACACTGAAGGTCTATATTAATTTTCACTTGGACTTAGTCCATATTATTTCTGTATAAAATATCGAGGATGAATTTGGTTATCTTCTACCTTAAGTTCTGTCATACACTCTTTTTGTGGGAAATGGTTGTTTTAAATTAAAATCTGAGTTTAAAATAATAATAATAATAATAATAATAATAATAATAATAATAATAATAAAAACAGAAGAATCCACCAAGGCATAGAAATCTGTTTATATCTATGTAAGAGGACCATTTCACTGTACAAATCTAAGACCTTAGACACAGTCTTGACATGGACAAAGCAAAATCACAAATTAATTTTTTAGGAGGAATCAGCCTCTACACTCACAGAGGAATTCTCTGTCCAATATCCAAAGCAAGGAATGGAAACCCAGGACCAGAGTGCACAGGGCCACTGATGACCAGATAGATCACCTTTGTCCAATGGGCATTTTTTTTCCTACACTAGCAATTTCTAAGTCATTGAAGAGCATGTTTGTGAAAGGAGTTCAGCTGGATAAGGAGGTAGCTTTTGTTCTTGTTTGAAGCAGTTACTAACATACTGAATAGAATGATATTTGGGATACAACCAAAAAGCCATTTTTAGGTTGGTGGTCTCTCTTTGGTCGAATTCTAATGGCTGGAAGCAGGATCAGGGGCACTGCAAGTCATCTGCCTTGAGCCAAGGACAACTTCAACACCATGCTGACCCCACAGAATGTCTTAGAACAATGGATTCACTTCTGTTTTCAGACTTCGCTTTATGGCCTCAACCCAAGGTGTTATCAGAGTGACATCTTCACATAGTCTCAAGCTGTCTCTGTCCTTATTAACAGTGGGAAGTGAAACTCTATAAGCAGTTTCCTTCTAAGGATGGTTTGTTTTGGTCTTGAGGGGAGTGGCTGAGGAGTCAGCTCAGTGGGTCCAGGGCTCACTGAGCAAGGCATGGTGGCTCATCCCAATTACTGAGGAATCATTGTGGGAACTCAATGGCTAGGTAGTTTAGGAAGTTAGAGATGCAGTGACAAATGCTGTCTCAAATAATAAAGTAGTATTTATTTGTAGTTTTAAATTAAAATTCAGTTAAAAATGATATTAAAAATCAGTGGTAGAGAAAGACAACTGTCTTTGACCTCTGACCTCCACACAGCCTGTACCACACACACACACACACACACACACACACACACACACACACATGTGCACACATATCCATGCCTTTTCCACATGCATACAGACATGCTTGTACTACACAAATATATGTACACACCTACACCACACACAAGCACATACATATGCCTGTACAACACATGGTGGGGGCGTCCTTTGTTTACTCTTATTGGTTGATGAATAAAACACTGTTTGGCCAACAGAGGCAGGAAGATAGGCAGGGTTAGGAGATGAAGAGAATTCTAGCAAAGATAGACAGAGAGAGATCAAGAAGAGATGCCATGTAGAGACTGGGAGGATAGGACACACCAGGCATTCTCTGGTAAGATAAGGTCATGTAAAACTATATGGATTAGTAGTTACGGGTTAATAATTAAGATGGAGTTAGACAATAGAACCCTAAGGTATCAGACAACAGCTTTATAATTAATGTAGCACCCCTGTGTGTTTATTTGGGTCTGAAAGGTGGCTGTGGACCTGGTAAGAGATGAAACCCAGCAACAAACACATACATGCACAAGCCTGAATCACACACATACATGTACCCACCCACATAAACACATGCTTGTGTAACACACACACATGCCTGTACCACATACACACACACCCACGCACACACACATGCCTATATTAATATGTCTGCACCACACACATAAACACACATGTGCCTAAACTACATGTACATGCCTATACATAAGACTGTACAACAAACATATATGCCTGTTGCCTGTATCACATATACATAAATACATACATGCTTATACTACATGCCCACTCACACACATATGCTTGCACAGCAGACAATTTGCCTACACCACACACATACACACACACAAATTCACATTTATACACACAAATACATATGCTTGTAACACACATATCTGCCCCTACACAAATATATATTCTTGTAACACACACATACAACTCACACTTATACACACAAATACATATGCTTGTAACACACATATCTGCCCCTACACAAATATATATTCTTGTAACACACACACATACAATTCACACTTATACACACAAATACATATATGCTTGTAACACACATATCTGCCCCTACACAAATATATATTCTTGTAACACACACACACAATTCACACTTATACACATAAATACATATGCTTGTAACACACATATCTGCCCCTACACAAATACATATCCTTGTAACACACACACACACACACACACCTTACTCACAGATAAATTTTTAAAACATGCTTCACTAAATGCTAGTGTGTGCTATTGATGCAACTCAGCATAGACAATGGGGAAAAACCTATGCTTCTGACATGTTCTCCTTTAAGAATTAATTTGACTTTAATAGTGAACTCAGTTCAAAATCAAAGTCTGATTTGTTATTTAGATTGATTCCAGTAGTTTCTCAAACCTATAAAACGAGAATTTTCATGTGTTTATAGTGCTTTCATGGGATAGCACTGATATAAAACAGCTTCCCTGGATGTGAATAAAAGATATTCAGTGCTTGTGATAAACAGTGAAACATGCATCCTGCCCTCCACAGTTTCAAAATCTCATGAAGAGCAAGTGTGTGTGTGGGTGGGGGAGGAGAGAGAGAGAAAGAGAGAGAGACAGAGACAGAGAGACAGAGACAGAGAGCGTAAAATGTAAGATGTTGAAAACTTATTATCAGGTAAATAAATAAACAGGTACTCCTGTTTCTAATCATGAGAAGCTAGAAAAACAGAAAAATGAGGAAATAACAGCTTAAATTATACGTATTTTGAATCCATCAGGGAAATGGTGACTTGGGTAGTTCTCAATATTAAAGCAGAAGCTATAGCTAAATGCAGGCCTACAAGTGGGTAGCACTTCAAAAGAGCATAGCCAAGATCAACACTTGTGGCAGAGATGTATACATCTAGTAAGAA